TGAATTTGAAAATAGACATCATGTGACTCATAAATAGAGAAATATTGGCCTACTAGAAAAATATGACTTTACTGAAGACTTGCATCTGACCCATCAGAGTCCTGAGCCTAGTAATCCCTGCTACTTTTGGCAGACAGAAGGCTGGTGAGAGTCATCTCTGGAAGTTCTGTCCTGGACTCAAAACTTTTCTGATGTTGACATTGCTTTACCCACCTTTGAGAGGAAAGAATAATGACGAAACAAGAAATGCTCTCCTCTTTTGAGGCTTTTACAGACTTCCCAACTCTCTCTCATTGAATGAAAGCAAACTATTGTAAAGTTCTAACCTCCCAAGAATTCAGTAAATCCTAAGAATTCAGTAAAAGAGTCAAAGTTAGTAAACATGCCATCGTAGTATTCCTACACCAAATACATTTATTTGGAAAAAACAGTCCAAAATCAGACATAAGTAGTGAATTAGGCTGGTTAATGGAAGGAACATAAATAAATTCACAGGTGAAGTTACTCCACAGGGAAGATAAGACATGATTGCATTTTCCCTCCAGTCCAATTCATCTTGGACCACTGAACCAGTTAATTTTAAATTTCTTCTATTCAAAACAGGGTGACTACCCAGCAGAATTGCAAAATGATATCTGTACATATGGAAGGTCAAATTCAGGAATTTGGGGGGGATGTTTTTGTTTTTTTAAACACAGGGACTAAGTGAATTGTATTCAGTAATGGTTGTGGAAACTGGGATCTGCCTCTTCTTCCCTCATAGCTGACTATTTCATTGCACAAATCTACTTCACAAATTTAGCATGGCATTGGATTTGGGGTTTTTTTGTTTTTTTCTGTGGTTGTTTTTGGGGGGAAAGGAAGAGGGGAGAGTTGGATGATTTTATTTGTTTTTAAACATATCAGATATATTGCAGTGATTTTACTCAATAAAACATTGGCTTCAACACCTTTTCTGGTATCAGTGTACTAATCCAGCAACCTGCCAACTGCTGAGACATAGGTCATAGTGAAATTCCTAGGAAATAGGTGTTTGCTGGTATTTTGAACTGGCATCAGGATTGGATGCTATTGATAACCAGAAAGAACAGAGATTTTTAAGCCCTTCTGTCTGTGTGCCTGTATTAGAAACATTAACTACAGTAATGTCTAAGTAGTATCTACGAAAAATAAGGTTTATTGTAGTACCAGCTGAACATTGAAATTACACCTATGTTAGCAAGTAGTGTGGGCCAGCTAGAGATCTGTGGAGAAAGCATTGGTACTGAGGACCTGATGTCTGTACAATTCACATTTCATGGCTTCTATTTTCTGGCTGGCTGGCTTTTTTAATTTGGAGTATCTCTAGAGAGGGTGAATTACACACCAAATTATTTCAGATTAAAAAGCTCAGCCTGCTCCTAAGTAGCACTAATCAAGAAATGAGCTGGTGTGCATTACTGTTCAATTTCCAGCAGCAAAGGAAGATGTTTTAAAGTGCTTCATTTGCCAAGGATCTGTCCCTGTTGTGTCTAGGACTGAAGTGGTGTCCCAGACACAAAAGAGAGCAGTTCAGCAGATGAGTTACTGTAATCCTTTTATAGCATATTGCTCTAACACTTTGATGTAGTAATGAATTTAATGTAACACAGTAATGTAGTAACATAGATTTCTACAAAACAGCTTGACGTAAAAATAGCTGGGGCCAAACAAAACGAGCTATTCTTGCCACTAAAATTGTCAGGCCAGTTTTCCCAAGCTTTACAGTTAAGGCTTTAAAGGCCTGTGGACAAAGAGAGGGACATTTTTCAAAGAGTTAAAGATATAAAAGTATTTCCACAGCATTCATTTTTCTATCAAGTGTACCCAGTTTTATTTTGCTTTCTAAACAGCTGAACTTGCAAACACACCTCAGGTTCTAATTTCCCCAAATTACTGCAAATTTACATTGCTTTCTCAATAGCAAGCGTCCAGCACGCTGAATCAGGATCTGACAGTATCTGAGCAACGCTATTGACTACAAAGAGCTATATGAGGAAACTTAATAATCAATGATTACATTCAAGATCTCTTCTAAAAAAAAGGAGTTACATTAACTCTATTTTCAAATTAAGATGGTGCTATTCTAGCAATCTATTGCAACGCTTCTTCAGTGTAAGGGATGCTGTGTGCAAAACTATTTTGGGCAAGGAAATCAATCCTCCATATATTTCAAACTCAGTAATCATACCTAGCTCTCAAATAATTTTATAATGAAGAACTAAAGTCAATTCCAAGCAAAGATCTGCAACTATGACCTGTACTCACTAAACGCAGAACACATGGAAAATTTGTTTCGACATAAAAAAACAGGCAAGCGCATACAAAAGCAGTGCTGCAGTTAACTACCAAGCATTAACAAAATAGCTTAGACCATCATAAATTTCTGTCAAACTACGTTCTGTAACCTGACTTTATATTGGGTTTTGTTACACACAAAATGTTGTTATGGGAAAAGATAATAAACCTTAGTATAAGTGAAATCTTAACAGCCTGCAATAATTATTAGTCCAGATCCAATTATTGCAGAAAAGAAGTGAACATTACTATACATAAAAAAGGTCTCCACAGTAATAGTTAAAATTGCTGTACATATACTTCTTATTACCTCACTCCTTTTCCTGGTGTTACGCTTACCCTTCAACTGCCCCTCTGGATCTTAAAGGCTGATGTGTCCGTTTGTGCCAGGGACATGCAACAAGTCGTCAGCATCCCAAGTCCATGTATGATGTCGACAGTTTATTCCTCCTTAATCTATCATCGACTTGGGATCACTTTTATGTTTGGTAACACACTTGTAACATCTTGCTTTCTTCATCTGTCTGCAGGTTCACCATTACAGCTGATTTTACTGTATATGGTGCATTTTACATGTGTTATATACTTTTTCTCCGTTATATTCAAAATGGGTTTTGTCTAGAGCCAGGATTGCATTTCTTCAACTGGCTGCTGGGGAGTAGTTTGCAGCCTAGGAGTTTCCATTGCCAACTTGTGCCCCATCTCTTGACACCCCAGGTACTCCTCTGTGCTGCATCCCATGCTGCCACTTCTAGAGGTCTCTGCTATCATGCCAGGTCTCTATTCCTCTACACTATCTTACTCCATTAAAGCCATAATACCCCATTCTACACAGAGTAATTACTTGCCGCTGCCATCTATGTAAAAACCTATGTGTATACCATTGAAAAAAAGTACACGTGAAACAAATTAATCATACCCACCTGGTCATTAACAAATGGCTGTTATAGCTAAACCAAGTAAAAATAAAGCTCCAGGTGAGTCAAGGGAAGCTCAGACAAAGCAAACCTGCTACGCCTCAGTCATGAGGCTACATTGAGTTTACTGTGTCCTATCACCAGCAATGGTAATATCTGGGCTACAGTTTAGCCAGAAATTCACCCCCTTCTACTTTCTCCCAGAACATAAGCATTTGCAATGGACTAGAATTGAACATTCTTTTTGCTACCAAAAAAACAAAAAAAATCTGTAAAAACCAAGTTAAATATTAATGTCTGGAATTCTATTGTTCCAAAACAGTTTGTTGCCACTGTACAGTACCTGTTTACTTTAAATTTGAGATCTATACAACCGTCTCAGTTGCACACCTATGAAATAGTAGTTCTAGATATATTAGAGAATAGAACTATTATTTAAGTATATTACAGAAAACTTTATAAGTCTGAAATTAAATTCTAATTCACAGTAGCAGCATCTTGACAATACATTCCCTCCCTCTGTGCATTACATTTTTGCTTCATTCTTAAGTTACCTGGAATTAGAGCAAAAGTCTAAGCAACAGCTGCAGAGCTTAATTAGCCATTAAATACATATCCAAAGTAATGAGTTTGAGAATAGAAGAACATACTGTACACTTCTATCAGTTCTGTTCAATGGTTTGGAGCGATTGTACTGTTGATTAATGATTCAAAAATCATTACAACTAGTAACGATTTTTCAGTGGAAAAATAATCTTTAAGATGTCTCTGTCCCACCATTTTTTTTTTTTTCCTCTTTTTAAAATCTTCATGCAGTGTAAGGGTTTCCATTCTAGTTAGTCAGAGCCACTTCCATGGAGACTAAGGAAGTCCAATTGTAGGACTGACCCTTTGGGACAGGTGGAGGTTGTTCCAGGCTGTCTTTGGTTGACAATTCCACCAGTCTCCTAGCAACAAGCTGGGAGAGCTGGTGAACCTCGTAACTTCAGAAGAGGCAGTATTGACTGTGAAGAGAATCAAACAGCCATCTAGTCCTACCTGCATTTTGGATACAAATTTAAACAAGGGAGTCCTGAAATGGCATAATTCCTCTCCCTGACAGGTCTGATGACTTCCTCCTAGAAAGGCTGACTACCTACTATATGCATCTATTGGCCTTTCTGCACTAGGAGCAAAGACAAGCTAGAGAAATTATGCTGTTTTTTAATTTCCCTATACCATGCAGTTTTACAACCTAAATTGATTGCAAAACATCTTAAATAAGTTGATCTTCTGTAGCTATTGTAGGACACTCAATCTGACAGAGTAATTCAGCTCTCATCCAAATTCTGATCTAGCTACTCCAGCTATTTAAAAAAAAGACCATCCAGCTCCAGCCTTTTAGTTAATATTAAATTAATGAAATATTAAAAGTTGGGTAACAGGAGTTTATACATTATATAAATAGCAGCAAACCGAGCTTAAAATTTAGGTGTCAGATTTTTAGTTTCCATGCAAGCAGATTTTAGAATTTGCAGAAATTGATAAAAAGGGTTTAGCATAGCAATATACCACCACGCTAAAAATACTGAAATACCATCTATGCAACATATCCTGAGTTACATAAACTCTTAAATTTATTACAAAATAATTTCCACTACTACATACCAGTCTCCAAAAAGTTTTTATTTATCATCCCAAACTAGTAGATATTATAAAAATAAACCATTATTTAATATTCAGTTATTTTTATCATACAGTTTTCTTTTTTGAAACAGAAAACATATATAGAAAAAAACAGTCTTCCATGGATGTCTCATAAAGCATCAAACCCTGCATTTCTTCTACTGTTGCGGAAAAATGAAGCATTTCCAAAATAAGGGAATACAGTCTTAGCAGCCTGTTCTTCCTCCCTTTAAATTGCAACGCTCTGTATGCATATTTATGGAAACTCAGTAAGGCCTGAACTGAGAAGGATGGCTATCTGGAGGAGGTGGAGGAGGTGGCGGCGGAGGTGGAGGCGGTAAAAATGGGTATGACGAGTTGTACATGTTCGGGCCTGTCCAAATCATATTCAGATTTGAATGTGGAAGGTGGAATTGATGCACGTCATTAACAGAACCAAAAACTGGAGGAGGAAAGGGATACTGTTGCATCATTGGATTTTCTTTTCTATGAGATTGTGGAAACACTGGAGATTCCTGACGTATTCTGTTGTCTGAAGAGTATAGTTGTGGTGGTCTTACTTGTGGTCTCAAAAAACCCGGAGGGCCTGACGGAGGAGGAAATGGATCCCTGGAGAACCCTCTGCCACGGTATCCCCTTGAATAACTTGAAGCAGGCTGTTGCATGGACTGATGAAGTCCTTTATTCTCACCTTAAAAGAAAAAACAAAAAACAAAAAACACCACCACACATAGTTTTAATACTATTTTGGAACGATTAAGTTTAGTCCTCACGAACCTTTCAAGCTGAAGTCAAGGAAATTTGAGAAGTAATCTTATCAACAAATAATACTGGCAAATAATACATAAACAGCAAAATAATACCGGCAAGTCTACTGTTTAGTAACTCATCTTGATTTATTAGAGAAATATAGAAAGGATGATCTGAGGGTTGCAAATTCAGTCATTAAAAAAGAAATTTCACTTTCTTTCCCTCCAGGCATTTTCATTTGTATTAATGAATCACAGGAACACTCAAACTGTGAGTATTTTGTAAAGTTTGGTTTAAAACAAGATTTAAAACCAACACATTTTAGAACTGAAGATAAATCAATACCACATTACACTAAAGTGGTATACAGCTTTCAGACCTGTGTTGGTATTACAGCAGACACAGGACACAAATTATTCAAACTCAAATTAAGAAAACTAACTTACTCTATCTGAAAAAAAGGCAGCCTGTACCTCTACCAATTGGCCTTCAGCATTCAGCTTTCTAAGACAACCTGTACAGGTCACTGTAAGCATACATTTAAGGTTCATAACAACTGTACTGCCACTTTATGTAAATACCATCAGAGTATTAATAGGGTAAGTGCTATAAAATTTAAGAGCACCAAAACCAAAATATTAAAGATGTTCCAAACAGCTACCAAGGTACTCAAAAGGCTGTAGAATTTAAACTGAAACATGATCTCTAAAGGATTTTAAGGCTAGAAACAAAAAGGTATTTAGGGACATAACACCACATAAAGTCACTGAATTTTAAGAACCTGTGTGGACCTAATCCTTGGCACTAGACTACATAGAAACATTTTCACCTTTGAAAAGCTAAGTCTTGAAAGGTAGTTGCATACCAAAATTCCTACTCATTTCCATGGGGGATTAGGACTTAAGGCTCCTTTGGTGCATGCAGGCCTCTTGGAAGCACTGAAGTGAAAGTACTTGAGTGAGTATTTTTTAGGTTCTTTCTTCTCCTATCAAAGACTATAACAATGAGCCAATTTTAATATACTCAGAGTTCTATGAAGATGGAACCAAGCAAAACTCCAGCTGAGACTGAGTTTGTGCCACAATTTGCCAGATATCCTTGTTGTTGAATTACATAGCCAAACTAAATTGCACACAGTGTCAATTTATACCATGTTACTTACAGAAAAACACAGCAAATCATAAGCCATATTCCCTTGACAGATTGAGACAGTTCCTCCCATTGTGTTCTCAGTTATGGAACATAGTTCAGTAACAGTCTCAGCAAGCCCTAGGCAAAGGCAGGTCTGCAATAAGCTGGCAGAATAAGGATACAGTGGAAAACATGCCATATGCTAGATAAGCAGAAACTGGGAGTGAAAATAACTATCAGCAATGAAGGTAAAGTATGGCATGATTCAGATCCTTCCCTTAAGGGAAAAACTGTCAAAACCATAGGGCAAAAGCCAGTCCAAAAATGATCACAGCTTTATTTAAAGGGTACAAGGGAGGGATGTACTGCACACAGAGTAAAAGGGTTAACAGGACAATTACTGATCAAGAGAAGAGGGGTTCAGTGGGGCACAGTGTCTAGCAACTTTAGAAAGGAAGAGCAGCAAACTCATGGAAGGAGTCAGTGCAAGAAAAATCAGTGGGGGGGGAGAAGCACTGTGCTGCAGAGTTGAAGCAACTTCATATGTAAGCAGCAGAAGAGGAAGAGGGGAAGGAATGAGGGTCAGTAGGGAGTGGTACAAAAAGCATGCAACAGAAGCAGACCAGTGAGAACAGAGAAAGAGAGGTGAGACTTAAATTATTCAACTAAAATGGCAACCAAAAAGCAAAAAGTTTTGTCAGTAGAGAGGCATGAGAGAAGACAGATAGGAAAATCTGGTTATTACAAACAGAGCATAAATGCAAGCATACACCTGGAACAGATCTGTCAACAACAGGAGAAAGGAAGGTGAAAAAGGCTATGTATATTATGAAAAACTATACATAATTTATTAAACTACTATAGGTTTATCTAACGACTGTGTTAGGTAAACAGAGAGGTTCTCAGCAGGCTACACAAGTAACAGTTATTTTAAAGGAGTATTTATATGCCATGGGTGAGGAAGAACTTTCTTTTCAGATACAGGAATAAATTCCCCATCTAAGACTTGCATCTTCTCCCTGATTGTCAAAAAAAATGGGTTTCTAAAAATTGCACGTGGCCTTCCTCTATCTTCTCCCTGCACTCAAAAGCTTAAGCTGAACTTGGGCCCCAATAACCCCTGCAATAAGCAAGCTCTAAACTCCAAAAGGTGACATTTGTTCTATATCCTCACTGTGTGTCAGCTGACATGGTTAAAAGAGCATGTGAATCTCCTGACAACTGTCCTGCTCCTATACTACTTCCCTTGCATAGTTTAATGGAAAAAACCTTCATTTTCCTTTAAAAAAACAATAAGGAATGTAACCACAAATTCACGAATGTAACTTTGAAAAGCACAGAAATACTGATTAACTGTATGAAAGCTCTATCATTAAGACAGACATCATTGTCTATTTCAAACTCAGTTTAACAGACAAAAGCATTCTCCCACAGCATTTACTCACTTGATGCATTTGTTTCCGATTTGAGTTTCTTCCTTCCTTGACTCTGAGGCTTCTTTTTCTTCTGTTTTGCCTCTCTTTCTTTTTCATCATCACTGAAATCCAAGGCCTGTTAAAAAAGAAAAAAGAACAAAGTCATATAAGGCTGCAGAGAACTTCAGTTCTAGCAATAAATCATTATTTAGAAAACAATCCATCCTGCAGTCAGCTTAAAAGAATATTAAAGCTGCACTTTCTTATTTTGCATTCGAAGATCAACATTCAAGTACTGAACACAAATTTTTGATTGCTTGGATGTTAGTAAGAAAAAAATTGGGAATCTCTGAGGGAGCTTGCTAGTTATTGCCAAGAAAAAAACTTCTGAAGGGAAATTAGGTGAATTAAAATATGGATTTTTAAAATAAGTTAAAATTAATTTGGCAACCAATACTTAGCACAGTTAAACTCCATTAAAAAATATCTCTAGTCTAAAATTGCCACTAAATTGGAATTTTCTGTAGTATATTTAATAACACTGTTCCTGTTAAACTTGCAATAGCAATGTTATTCCAAAGGAATTTTCAGCTTTGGAGAATGTTATCATCTACAATAGATTCAATGTCACTGCAACATTTTGTTCCTGTTACACAAGGTTTTGCTACCTTTCGATTCCTAGCTTACATTTAGAATGAGGAAGTTACTATTGACAGAAAAGAAATCTGTCAGCTTAATTAAATCCCTGAAAAACAGCTCACTTATATGACTTAAAGAGGTAGGGTTTGTTCCCAACCTCCCCTTCCCAATTTTGAAAGGAAGGGTTTTGCTGCTTACCGATGTATCTCTGTAGTATACAGAGCACAGATCTCAAAAACACTGCACTAAAACAGTGCTAAAAAAGCCACATAAAAGTTAATTCTGAATACAACTATTTCTTCTTCTACATAACTGGATTACATTCTTACTCAAAAAAAGCCACAAGGAATACAACAAGATGATATATACCATGAAGTAAAATCTTTCACTAACTCCTGCTTTTTCTAAGGACTTCAATACACCATCCTCCAGTAGAGCAGAAATAACAAACAGGTACCTTCTGTTGCTAGCTAATTTCCATGTAACATTCCATAAAAGCCACCTCAGAGAAACTGCAGTTATCTGCTCCTGCTAGCCTTGCAGCATACAGATCACACTTTGTCATCCTATGACCCCAAAGACAAGGCCGAGAGAGATTGTATTACTGAGTCTACAGTTAAGCTGAGCTAATTACGAGCCTGTCAGAAAAGGAACACTTACCATATACCTTAAAGTAGCAAGCATAAAAGGCCTAACATGGATTAATTTAACATTCGTATAAAAATAAAGCTTCACAGTATCACAAAAAGAACTAACTCCAGCAATTGCACACAGTTTACCATGGGAGTTGACCAGAAAAGTTATAGAATCAGCTGCCAGCTGAGGACTCTAAAAGTCTGGCTGTAAGAGACAATTTCAAGCATCAGTAGCGTAAAATTTAATCTGCACCCTTGTCAACAGCTATTACCTTCACAGCAAAAGCCACTTTCTATCAGCTCATCAGCTGTCACAGTCTGGATATCTTAGTGTAAACTCTAACTGTTAGAACTATCCGAAGATTATTCTCATTAAGGATTACAAGACATTAGACATGGTATTTTCGCCAAAACAGAGCACACAGACATCACGAAGTCAGAATGGCCACGAAAACAAAGCTGTCATAAAAAGCAATCAAGTTTGCTCATCCATGCCATCACTGGTTTTGTTCAAGCTTCCTTCCTTCCTATAATGAAGTACAATAAACCTAAAGTTCCCCCTGTACTTTCACACTGTAACCTGAAGGTAACAGTACCATAATTAAGAAAAATCATTAAAAAAAAAACACTTTGGAAAACGCAACAAATCTATATCTCCAGAAGATTTGACTGCTTGACTGTATTTAGCTGAATTTTAAAGTTACTTAGGTTCCTACAAATTCAAATTACACATTTACAAGCTCATCTCCTGAACAGCTATAAAAATACAACTAAGAAACAAACAAAAAAAGAGCTCACCATTAGCCAATAAGCACATTTTTGTATCACCATCACTAGAAAATTTTTCAACCAAAGAAAGCTAAGACTAGACAAAAGTTTCTAAGTATATACAGTCTTCCAAAGCTCTGTTGATCACATACCTACAGTCCAATTCTATGCAACACTCCTACTTCTCAAATGATGATTCTCTGTGAGATGTCTCCCCAAGAAAGGTGGGTAATTTACAGTCAGAACTGACAGACAAGCATTCTTTGAGAGAAGTTAACACTGCTCAGCTCAGTTCCATTTGTGGCAAGAAAAAAGGGATTTCAAAATGTATCATCATCACAGTGGAAAAAGCAACATTCTGGGTTGACAGACTGATACATCATTGCAGGACCTACCTTCAAGCATAGAAAAGCCCATGTCACAACATCTCCCCTTCAAAACAGAACACCTAGCCTGGAATAAGGACTGTGAATGCAAAAATTGATACTTTCCCTCACAGCGTCCTTCTGGACAAGTTGTCCAACTGTGGGACGAGTGGGTTCACAGTGTGCTGGGTGAAGATCTGGCTGAAGGGCAGAGCTCAAAGGGTTTGTAGCAAATGGGGCTACATCTGGCTGGCAATCAGCCACCAGCAGTGTTCCTCAGGGTTCAATTCTAGGGCCAGTTCTGTTCGATATATTTATCAACGATCTGGATGCAGGAGTTGAATGTACCATTAGCAAGTTAGCTGGCGATACCAAACTGGGAGGGGCTGTTGACTCTCTTGAGGGACAAGAGGCCCTGCAGAGGGATCTAGATAGATTGGAAAACAGGGCAACGATTAATGGGATGAAGTTTAACAAGTTGAAATGCTGAATTCTGCACCTAGGAAGGAGTAATGCCAGGCACAAGTATAAATTGGGAGAGGAGTGGCTGTAGAGCAGCCCTGCAGAAAGGGATCTGGGGGTGCTGGTCGACAGCAGGCTCAATGAGTCAGCAGTGTGCCCTGGCAGCCAAGAGGGCAAACCCCATCCTGGGGGGCATCAAACACAGGATACCCAGCCAGTCTAAAGAGGTGATTATTCCACTGTGTTCAGCATTGGTACGGCCTCACCTTGAATACTATGAGCAGTTCTGGACCCCACAATTCAAGAAGGATGTGAAGGTCCTTGAATGCATCCAGAGGAGGGCAACAAAGCTGGTGAAAGGCCTAGAAGGCATGTCCTATGAGGAGCAGCTAAGGGCTTTGGGCTTGTCTAGTTTGGAGAAAAGGAGGCCAAGGGGTGACATTGTTGCTCTCTACAGATTCCTGAGGAGGGGATGTGGAAAGGGAGGGAGGTGCTGATCTCTTCTCCCTGGTATCCAGTGATAGGACGTGTGGGAATGGTTCAAAGCGGTGCCGGGGAGGTTTAGACTGGACATTAAGAACCATTTCTTTACCAAGACAGTGGTCAAACACTGGAACAGGCTTCCTAGAGAGTTAGTCAATGCCCCAAGCCTGTCAGTGTTAAAGAGGCATTTGGACAATGCCCTTAACATGCTTTAGCTTATTGTTAGCCCTGAATTGGTCAGGCAGTTGGACTAGATGATTGTTGTAGGCCCCTTCTAACTGCAATAGTTGATTCTATTCTAAAAATTGGTTAGAATAAAAAAAAAACCAAAAAAACCCCAAAACCACCCACAAAAACCACCTTTCCTACTTATGGAGTAAGAAGCACATACTATGTAGCATAGAACTACGCTATTCATGCAAACTTTTGGAAGATTGAAAAGAAGCAGATAGATCTCTTTAGGATACTATAATAGACACAAGGATTCTAGGAATTTCACCTATTTTGGATAAGATACGCTTATAGTAGAAATTGCAAGGAAAAATTACTCAAGTGTTGATCTAGAAAACAAATCTCATGAAAACACCTCAATAAAACTACCAGCCTTGCGATTCTTTTTGAAGAAGAGAATAGTAATGAAAAGTATAGTTACAGCAGAGTTAAGGAGCACTGGACAGGAAGCCTGGATTTCATTGAAGCAATCTTCACAGATCCTACAGTAAATGACATCAACGGTCGTGAGGAGGTCTCACGTCTACATAGCCCTGTATGACTGCCTTTGTATGGAAGAAGCTCATCTCCTCTCATGAAACTGGTGTTTTATAATAGGAAACAGTAGGGAAACCTTACTAAGCCATTCAAAGAATGCAACAGAGGAGGTGTCAAGTTAATCTAACAGAGTAGACAGCTTAAACACCCAAGTAGTACAGTTTGCAGAGTACTAGCAGGCCTTTTAAGACAAACAACTGCTTGTGGCAAGGTAAAAGAAAAAGCTGCAGCAAAAGAACAGCAAGGACAAAAATTCCCTAGCAGAAGCAAAACTATTAGGCAAGGTAAAAGCACTGCCACTCAAAGTTGAACATTCAGGTTGCCAAACATGTTCTTGAAGGACTAGAGGAACTGAAGATACACATTTTCCCAATTGCAAAAAGCAAGTAGAAAAAGACAGCTAGTACTCTCTACACTGACTATGAGACCTCTCCAAGAAAAGCATGACCTTCTTTTCAGAGAAAAAGCACATAAGCTTGCTAATTAGTTACCCTGCGCAGAGTTTTTTCTACATATATCTTGTGTAATCAAAACCAATAAACAAACAAACAAAAAAACCCCTATAGTTACTTCAGGTGGTGGTTCTTGGTCATTCTTCCAAGATGCATCTGAACCTTTTTCCCTACAAGAAAAACAAACCACAAATTAGACAATCAAGACAAAGGAAGACAGTGTCAGGAGGCTACAAAACATCTCTTACTTGAGTCACATAGTAGCAACATATTCTAGGTTAGAAATAATTTGCAAGAACTGTACTGTAGCAAATAGGTAACACTTTCTTCAAGGTATCAGTTCTCCTACACAAGAAGCTTCCTGTTTTAAAAGGGGCATTTGTTTTTTAATGTTGTTTCTAAATGAACAGCAACGTATGTGTCAACTTCAGACTTCACTACATATGTCATTTGAAAAATCTTCCTACTCTGAGTGAAGACTGAACATTTCACACAGCTAATACTAAGCTTTGATCAATATTCTCTCAACACATCTTTTTCAATTTAAATTGCTTTGAACCCAAATTGAGGTAGTTCATTGCAACTTTCTTCTGTTGACTCACTGCTGACTACAGTCACAAACTTTCTTATTCTTCTGGTTTCAGAACACGTACCTCCAGTCAAAAAGGACAACGAACTAGTATAGTAGGATACAGGCTTTAAGTATAACTATAGTGAATTCGGAACCAAAAAAACCTCTAAGCTTGGCTTACAATTCCATTAAGATAGTGTTAGATAGGTAATTAGGTTTCATCTTCTATTTTGTTGTAAATATAAAATTAAAAATCAAGGTAAAAGACATTTAAGGAAGCAAAAACTCAACTGTCTTGCCTGACAAGCACCAAAATTAACTTGAAGTGGTGTTATTTATTTCACCCACCACTGCGAACTTCACTAAAAAACAAGTCATTTCTTTGATTACCAACAAATTTGTGGAACAAAGTTAAATTATGCTGTTAAAAGTCTGTGGAAGGTTTTTCCACACTGCTCGCAAATTTAATGTGTTTTGGTTGAAAATGACAAGACACTGTCTTTATCTATGTAGACAAACTATATAAAATAATGCAATACTGAAAATTCTTACTTGCAAAATGGAACCATATAGTTAAAAACATCAACATGTTCAGTGTGAAATGTTTTCAATCAGTGTTCTAATAACCAAGGGGTTTTTTATGTATTTATCAAGTCAGCAACAATCAAGCAGCAATAGCTACATCAAAGTACATAACCATCGGCTCTAGGTAGCCTGGACTTGAAGAGGTCCTTAGTCAAAGGCTGCCCATGAGAACACTGGCAAGTCATCTGGAAGTACTTTGTGCCTCAACCCCTAACCATAAAACTGAAGCTCAATCTCTACATATCACTAGAAAACTATACAGACACACCACCTTTGTGATTATGAGCAAATCATATTAGCAAGCAAGCCATTTTAAAGTTTAATTAGAAGAAAATGTTACAGGGAGGAAAGAAAAATAAGGGCTTTACATGAATAACTTCTCAGCTGCAGAAAACTGTCTACCTATGGAAAGATGAAAAGTATCACTTTTTTTTTTTTAAATCATGAACCAACTTCTTTGTTTCTCCCTCTCATCTTGTTATTTTGGGGCAATACATGCCTGCCAGAAATACCAGAGCACGCCAGAAACTCCCAAGACTTGTGGTCATTAGGCAACATGTAGTACTACTGACTGCAAAACTTAAACCTCCTCAGTCCTTCAGGCAGCTTATCTCACTCTCCCAAGGCAGCCTTCCTCATTTCAGCAAAACACAAAACACTTCTCATGCTCTGAGATACTTAATCTTCTGCAAAGAACAAGATAGTAATTCTTTGATTTCTGAACTCAGATACTGTAAGATCTGGAAGTCTAACAAAAGGTGACTCAGAGGAATCATGAAAATACATGAGCTTCTTTAGAATTACTTTGTGTTTCAGGCAATACAACACAAATCTATTTTTAGCAACAAATTATTTTGCATTCAAGAAGTTTTACACTACACTTCCATTTATTTTGCTATAAAGTGCAAGGGTTATTCATAGCACTGCAACTTTGTACAATGCAAGCAGATTGCATTCCAGATTTCAGAAAAAGCTTCAAACTTAAGGTTTCTTTCAGATCTTAACCCTGATTCCTTTTCTTTTTCAAAGTACCATCACAGTTTTGAGTAGCAGTTCTAGACCTTTAAGCCTGTAATACTCCACAAGCTGGTCTGCACACAGTCAGACTAACAAAAAGCAGAAAATGAAAGTCATTGGTCATCAAATTTGCAATCTGCTAAGGTCCAAAAGCCTTCTTGTGAAGCACTGATCAAAGCTCAACTTTTCTACTATCCATGTCATCTTGGTTTCTTTATAGAGACATTACAGCACAGGTCAGAAGTCAAAATTCTTTATCCTTTTTCAATAACACCTACTTTGTGAAAAAGGCAGCTTCAACAAATAGTACCAGTTGCGTCACAAAAGCTTAAGAAACTTTACTGACAAAACTGAGAAATAAAATATTGTTTCAGTGAAATGTAACTTAAGTTACATTATTCAGAACTTATGGTTTACATCAGATTACACAGGTGTTCACACTGCTCCTTTTAATACAGGGCAAGAAACAACATTTGATGCATTGTTCAGCTGTGCTGATAAGACATGAAAGTGTTAAACATCTTACATAGTGTTCAATTTTGTACCATATATGATAGTAAAATACTACCAAAAGACAAACAGCTCCCAAAACTACTTGCAATGTATTAACAATCTAAAATACGAGTCTCACATCTCAGATGCTGAGTACAGCACACAGTTACTGATGTAGCAAGCAGATGATTAAGGTCTGTGCAGTTACTGTACTAAGCAACAAAGTTTAATGGCACAAATCAAAGACCAGCTGGCATCAAAATACTGCAGAAAAACAAACAAGCAGCAGAGTGAGAAAGTGATCTATTTTGGTCTTCACTGAAAGGAAGAAAAACGTGTTTGTTGCTTCCACAGAAATGGGAAAGGAAAAAACCCCACAAAAAAAAAAAAAAAAAGACTCCTGCAGGCCTGGCCACACATGCATGACTAAAGAAAAAAATTATTCAATATGAATACTGGCAAGGTTGCAATTAATGAAGACACCAGTATTACTGGCTAGTCAGAAAAAAATTGCAAGTCAGGCGAGAACTAATCCTAATAACCAGAGACTAAGTCACTTGTGTAACAAAGGATTTTTTTAACCTATATTTATTTCAGACAATTACTCATCAATAATTAGAACACTGATGCCTAGCAGTCACTTACTATCCTTTCTTTCTTATTCTGTATCTTTGAGTACACTTCCTTTTAAATGGCAACAAGTCCTATTCATACATGCTACTTTCCTCAGGCAGGCTGGGATACACAAATGCTAGAAGTTTCTGAACATCATACTATATTGCCACACAAATCCGTCCCCTCTCCCAAATTTACAGCAGGTAATTACCACACAGAATTGTTATTCTCCAACTGTACAATAGATTTATTGATAATTAAATTTCAGTTCTGGCCTTGTAACATGAAATAAAAATAGTAAATAAATGCAAACTTGATCAGAATTCAAACAAGTTTATTTTAGGTTATGAAACTAAACAAGAATCTGAGGAACAACAAAATCCAGAAAGTACAGCTTGCAAAACCACTGCATGTGTATGTATGTGAGAGGGTGTTGGGGAGGTAAGCATCAATGAATTTTTTTCTGGTTATGCTATTTTGGGTAACATAGCAACATGAAAAGAAAGCAAGCTTAATATATTGAGTAAGAAGCTACTAAACTTTAATAATTATAACACTTTAGAAGCTTGTAGTTTACAGCTACTCTGTACTGTTCTGAAAGGCAAAAGAATACAACCTTGTTATTACAACACAGTTGAGAATATCCAAAAAAAAAGAAAAGTTTTAGTGTCAAGCTTAGTCCTACAGTTTCTCACTTAAGGCTAAACTTTAATTCACTATTTTAGCTATATTAAAAAATACATTATAACCAGATTAGAAAAAAATCAGACTCACTGTTTTAGTTTCTCTGCAAATATATACTGGGTGAAGTCCTCCACTGATGGAGCAAAATACATGCTATCTTGCACATTAATACCTTTTGCTTTGATATGCTCAGAGCTGTTAAATCTTAACACATAAAAGGGATGTAAGACAGGACCAAATATCTCAAATATCTGAAACACAAACAAAATTAAAATGTTTAAATAAACCACCAAGAATAAATAGCCAATTTCACTGTAGACAACCATGAAGCTTTAAGATGCTTTGTATTTAAGAAGTTTGATATATTTTCAAAATGCAGAATGCAGCATCAAATGAAGTTACTTTCATGCTTTAGTTTTATTACCACATTTTGTTTGACAGTATATTTCCCAGCTACTGTTTAAGTTATAATGTGGAAAAGTAAGTTCTCACACATTGATATTACCTTTGCCCACCCAACTGCACTGCTTTCTCTGTCTGCTTCCTCTACTGTGCTAACTTTCCTTTTGTCAAATCTCTGTTCTTCTCTCTCCACTATGCTTTCAAATCTCTTACACCTGGAACAATCTCCCATTCATTTATTCCTCAAAGTTCATCTTTACAAGACACCTTTACATCAGTTCCCGTCTGTTCCCCAATTCCATTGAGAGCAGGGAATTCTGCCATGTTGTACAGAACATCTGCCAATTTCAGGCTGAGATTTTTGTTTCACTCACATCTAGCATTCAAAGATATTATAGTAGTAACTGTTCCAGATGATGGCTTTTCTTCCCCAGAAAACATACAAAATTGAATGCAACAGCCCTCTCAGCAAACATTCTTCATTATACTTGCAAAAAGCACACAATGGCCTTAAACTGCAACAGCAGAACTTAGATATGTAAACATTCCCCACTTTTCCTGAAACTTGACTAATTTCTCCAATGTTTGCCCCCAACTCCTGGCAATAAAAGAGCACAGTCTGTTATTGAAGACATCATACATCTGAAAGCAACCTCTCCCTCTCCACAAGCACTGTCATAAAATAGCAGAAACTCATCACACATTGTAATTCTGTTAAGGATGCAATGAATTCCAGGTTAGGAATTCCTGAGATTAAAAAAAAATAGATGACTATAGCAAGAGTCAAAAGCACAAAGCAAGACTACATATCAAGAAAATATTATCTTTCATCAAGTCGACTTCAACACTACTTGTTGGAACATAAAAGAATACTTTGATTTTTATATTAGAATAACAGGTTTTTATGCTTTACACATACCTTTCCTGCAGCTTGCCGATCTTCTTTAAAAATTATGCTTTCCTCATTTACTGGAGGTAGGCCTCTCAGTGATTCAATTATTACTAAAATGGGGGAGGAGGGAAAAAAAATCAATTAGAACTTTGTTTCAACAACATCATATAGTTAATTGCAGAGAAGCTTAACAAAACACACCATTATTTGTCTACTAAAGTTCATAGAGCTTCACCACCCCTTCTCCATTGATATATGAGTGGTAAGATTTACATTTGTTTACAGAATTATTCTCTGGGTTGAAGAAAAGAGACCAGCCGATAGGTACAAAAGAGAAGTCTCAGATATGTATTTGCGAGCTACCTGTTCTATTTACCCAGGATGTTTCTTAATTAAGTGCATAGCAGCAATAACCTGGTTTTTTGAGTGCAGATGCATGTGTATATTCTGCCTTCTTAGTATTCCAAATGAAATCCTCCTTGGAAAAAAGAACGGAAATGGCTATTCATTACAGCTTGCCCCAATAAGTCATAAGAATCAGACCAGAACAAAAAAGATGTCTGGCAGTCCAGTCACAGTTGCAACTGGTGGTGTCATTTATGTATGCAGAAATACAATTTGAAATACATTTCTGCAATTTAATGTCCTGTAAGTCTCGTATTACATTTGGGCCTAATCCATGATTAACAATGGTATGAGTGGTCAGAGCTAGCAAGTCATTCTAGTAGCTCAAAATATGAAATCTTAACACTTAGTAGACTTTAACACTTATAAATGGACACAGAAGCATGTTCTTCCTCCATTAAACACATAATTTGATATACATGCTACTTCATTTTTAGGTTTTCCAATTCAGAGACCTAAAGAGCTTATCCTTTACTGAAATCTTTAGAATAGTTTCTTCTTTGGTAGCAGTTCACAATTTGTTCCTTTAGTCTGCAGGAATTCTGCGTCTTCCTTTACATTCAGCAGGAAATATGCTCAAAGCTGTCAATACAGAGGCCTAGCAGCATTATGCTTATTAGTCTGCCTTCTAACTTTCACCAACCAATCTAAATTCAACAATTCACATATTTCAGTTTCATAAAGATGCAGACTGAAGAATTCACCTATCAGTAAACTGACAGGATTTGAAAAGGTTATACTCACCAAGGAGGATTAGAAATTAAGGAGAGTTTTCAAAATTGAAGTCTTTAAAAACAGCTTTGTTTAAACATTCACATACTAAATCAAAAATAAGAATAATAGCAAGTTATGATTCAACTGTTTCTCTTTTAACTTACTTTCAAACCATCATTTTAGCTGAAAACAGCCTTCTTGAAGTCCCCATTATTATCAATAAGTAAGAAAGGGCAAAGTAGAACAAAAGGACGATGACCAGATTACTACTTTCCACACTCTCAAGCCAGCTTCCTGCACATGAATGAAATTAAATCTAACTCCAAACCAACACCACCAACAAAAATACTATAAAGGAATTGCCTGTATTACCTGCAGTCTTCTACAATAAAAGAAAATTTAATAGCAAAGCTATTTGCTTTAATTCTTTTGTACCCCACTCAACACAAATACTTTAACTTCAGAATTGAACTTAATTTCTAATTTTCGTAAGAAAATTGCTCTGAAAGCAGTTCAAGCAGAATGGAACACTTGAAATAAGCTTAAATACAAACATACTATGGATTTTTTATTAATATCAGCTTCAGCAAAATTTTGATGTCACATCAAAAACTGAGGTCCCAGGTAGATCTGAAAAGATCCCTAAATGCATACTGCCTGCAGTTAAGCTTACATCCATTGTATGTCTCAGTCCCATTAAGCTTACCCTCCAGGACCTATAAATCATGTTAGTCATGCTGTCCTATGACTGCTGACACTGGCAGCTTGCATTTGGTCAAGGTGCCAGAAGTGGGATGCTCTGCTAAAGAAACAAGTTTTATCCTGTCCTCATACATTCACAAGCAAGAACTTGGGACTGGATTGTACTGCACCTCTGCTTTTAGTTATACACTGCCTATATCTTCAGAGATAATTCAAATATAGCATGTACGACTGAAAGATTTTCTTAAAATACTGCAAGTGTTCAATCTTATTGTTGACAGAATTAATATAAAGATCATAATACACAGTGAAAAAAGGCTTTTTTAGCAAAAAACTAGAACATGAAAGTCACACAGAAATATATGCATAATAGTCGTAGTATCTTAATCTTTAGAAGATGTAAGCCAGCTAAAAGGGAATTCAACACAAATGTCATTTAGCAGTCCGAGTTCTCATTCAGCAATCCACTACCCCCTGAAATAGAAAGCTGCAGTACTGACACTTTGAGGGAACAGTTAAGTACACAATTAATGCAGAGATATACAGAAATTATTTTAATTGAAAACAAAGCAAACATATCTTGCTTACCTAGCTGCTCAATTATGCTGGAAACTGTCCCAAAAAGCTTCAGTTCAACATCATCAGGCAGAATTATTGATAAGTCTTCAACAGGAGGCAGTTCCTGAAAATACCATGTCAATGTTCAGAAATATAATATCATCACACTAAGACATTCATCACTTTGTCACTGCATAAATTTGACCATCAGAAAAACCTCCTAGCATTTTGAAGATTTAATTAAAAAAATGTAGTTTGATTTGTCTCTTCCAGAATAATTCTAAATAAACTCGCCTTGGGGGGAAAATGTCACTTTTGAAGACACCTTTTCTATTGAGATGCTACTCTACATATTTCCATTGCAACTAAGTAGAAGCCAACTTTACTCAGCTGGAGAAAACCAACAACTGATAGACATTTTGTTCCTTTTTTTGAACTTAGATAATAAGTTAAATGTACAACACAATAATTAGATAATCAGTAATCAAAAAATCAGAAAACTTGTAACCACATTCAATGCATGACAGAAGAGAAACATACACAGCAAGAGATAAAATAGCATGAAATACACCAGGTATGTATCATCTGATTCAACAAAATGGTGTCTGTCCATTTATGCCACAACTCAGACCATTATAAAAGATGTAAAGATCACAACAACCTATCTAAAGAAAATTATTTTTACCTGAAAGCTGTATTTGGTACAAGAGGATACTCACACAGAACACACTCAAAAAAAAAGCCAAACTTAAGATATACAAATGAATACTGCACAAACAATATTCAAATTAAACTTTCTCCTCAAATGTAAGCATCAATATCTTCTATCAAAGGCTGATTAACACTGAACTAATCATCTACCTCCAATTTATTCATAACTAAGATTTCTATGTATATACTATACTGCTGTGAATTCAATATGGAATACAAAGTAAGGGCAAATAGAGCAAGAATTATCTTCAAATTCAACATCTTCTGAATTTGGAGGTAGAGTCCAAATCTTAGCACTGAACTGCACTTTTAAAGGCCATCACCAGAAATAAAATCACTCTTCAATAGAAGAATCTTGTCCTGTCTTATCAAAACTTCAGCTGATAATCTTCACGCTTAACAAAAGTGCTTGGCAAAGGCTTCTAGAGCAACTCAAAGACCAAACAGAGGACAAGACTTAGGCAGACCACATAAGATAGCATTAAAGTCAAGACGTGAATTCAGATAGAAACACCATATACCCTTCTACAGGACAGTAAGTTTTCCAACATTAAACCAACTTCACTGTTAAGCCTTAACCAAGTCATGGATGCCAGAGCAATTCCAAGACCAGAGACCAGAAGGAAGAAAGCTAAAACTTTTATCATAAATCTCAAACTGGTAAACTGTACCATCTGTCATACTATATACAATATCCGCCAATCTTACACTCAAAACAGGAGGTTTCTAAAATAGTTCCACTAACACTCCTTAATACATGCAGGTTTTTTTCTGCTAAGCACACATTCCAGTTATATACTTTCTTTAATCTTTTATTGTATCTTTGAGCCATGCTTTAGCAAGTTAGCTATTATTGAGGACTTTCAGGTAAAAGACTAATCATCACGTTTCAGTTTTAACAGATACATTTTAATTTTCAAATTGTATTCCTTCAAATTTACATAAGGTGATCTACAACATTTTTACATAGATTAATTCTATTACTGTTGAATGGCTTAGTACAAGATACAGTAAATAATGTAGTTGCTAGAACTTCGGTTCTTATTAACTATCACTGGCAAAAAGCAATAGCTTTGCTGAACCAGTGAAACTAATCAGGCCAGTACTTAAAAGGAAGACAATGTTTCAAAAACACTTGGACTTGAAGCTAGTAAGCTAATGAGACAAAAGAGCAGATCAACAAAGCATTTTCGGGCTAACATGAATTTTATTTAAATAAATAACTGAGATAAGAGGTAAATAAAACCTAGTAAGTACATCTACCTCAGCAAAGATTTTTGTTCAAAAGTCCAGTGCTGTAAAAACCATCTTTGTCATAGAAGCACTTATAATGGTTCTATTATTAATCATACATCAAAACGAAGTGCATGTAAGCAGCAATTGCTCTGACATTTTACTCCTTCAGAATACAATGTTACACGTTTCTGAATCTTTGATTAATTTCAGTGAGAAAAGAATATCCTAAAAGCTCTTCTTTACTTCAAGTGTCTCTAGAGCAACATTTTAATAATTAACAATGTATTCCCATCTCCTGGTGTTGCTACTACTAATGCATGTCAATGCCTCAGCCTTTTCAGACAGTCATCTAGCACTTCATTACAAACTCTTACAGAGCACTGAAGCAAAGGTTCATGTCTCCAAATGTATCTGCTCTTCAGAGGTTTTTTTTCTCTACCTTTCTAATAATGTCTTGTACCCTTCATTGGCCTTGTTTCTCATTCCAGAAAGCATTTTTTATGAAGGGGAGAGATCTACAGAATAACAGATAAACATATACTGTTAATGTAAATTGACATTACAGTGTTGCATTATCCTTTTATTTGTAATCCATTACAAATGATGATAGCAAATTGTCCATTAGCAGATTATTACTAAAACTCGTTCCTTTAAACCTCTTAATTTTGAGATAATGAGGAATAATGGCAGCAATACTTAACAAGCGTGTTATTTATGAGAACCAATATAAACCACTTCTGTGACCACTCTAACAATTTTGCTTGAGTAGAGACGATGCAATCTGAACCTCTGGGAGGCTTAATATAACATTTGAAATTTTTTGCCTCAAGGCTGAACTTATTTGAAATATGTCTTACAGACATATCAGACCTTCAAGTCCCTCACACAGAGAAAGGATGATGAAAGCCTGCAATGTACAAACAACAAAAAGTGTACTAAAATATCCAGAAATTTGTTTTCATTAGTTACAACTGTGATTTTATACAACTGTGAACCTCACTTCAGAGTGGTCTTAATATACTGAAAAATAAGACACTTTTAATTATTAACTGTGCTATACCTGAACTAGTGTAAAAACATACATTCAGTCACTAGGTATTCATTAAGTTAAAATATTTTAAGTTGGGTTACTAGAAAAACATTTAAAAGATAACACAGTGTACTTACATCAATAGGCAACTCATCTTTCGTTTTAACACAGTAAGATTTGTTATCCTTCTCATTTGGATGATCATCTTCATCTGATACTGTTGAAGGGGAACACGAAGAGGAGGATGTAGTTGAATCAGTTGAATCTGAATCCGTATCACTGAATAAAACAAATATGGGAGTTATAATATAGACTTCCGCCTTACAGATAAAAAGAGTGGCTAGATTATACATTACTCAAATACCCTTGGTTACCAGATATGTTCTTCTTAAATGTATATATCTGTATACAGAAAAGCAGCAATCTTTCCTGAACCTACAAGCCACTGGGCAAGATCATTAAAAAAATCTCAGAAGAGGTATAGCTTCAACAGTTCAGAGCAAATGCTAACAACTACAATGGCTCATTTGCGTTCTCACTGTTTTACTGTTGAAAGGTGTATGTAGCGTGAGAGCAATCACCTCTTTAAGCTCACCTAGTCCAGTTTTTCCCACTGGCTACCTCATGCAAAAGTCCAGCACCAGCATAACTCCATCTGTCAGACATACATGACAGCCACAGTTTGGGACCTATACTTCATTGGTTTGCAACTGAAATGACACATTAGAGTCACAGGATGATTACTTCAGTGTAGTACCTAGATAAATACAGCCAAATTAGGACCATAATGTCTATGCACAATCAGCATATTTCCATTTTATGCACCACTTAAATTCCCAGTATTGAACATCACTTGACATAACCGAGCACAAAAAAAAAATTTCAAATACACTAAACTACCTTCTATAGCTCACAGTCATTCTTCTTCTACAACCCCAACATTAGGATACAGCTAAGTGAAAGTCAAGAAAATACTTATTTCCAAGCAATCCATCTTACGTTATGAAGGTAAAACAAAATTCTAATTTTTTCAGATAAAAGGGATTAGTTTCATATTTCATGGCAGGCCTGAATTCCCCTAGTACATATTCACACATATTAGTAATTTAATATTTCTCACTGGCACACGCATAAGAGATGTTTATTGTCTTAGACTCTTAATGTTACAAGTAAAGAGCACAGTAAGAAACCAGTCCTTATTCACATCAACCTGTTCCTTTTAGCAAAAGTCTAAGTTCTTGAAGAGCTGGGGAAAGAAACAAACACATGGAGTAATTGATATTGATGACTGAAAAAACACGTCACAAACCTTACACAAAAATACACTAAGACAAGCAAACGTTTGTAAAATTGCATCTTCCTTTCTTACCTGATCTGCATGTTAAGAAAGCAGCATTTGGAAGCAAAGTGATAAATAAAATACAAAAAATGCTCCCTTCTAGATTCTTTGGTATTAGATTGTCCCCTTCACAAGCAAATGGATGGCTTTCAATTACCTGTTGCTGCGGTTTTTTTCCCCAACAAACATTGATAGGGGAGACAACAAATAAGAGCACCTCTCCAAATAAACCTTTTGAAAAAGGCAAATATGGTCTTCTTGGAACAAAATCAGCAGAGCAGAATGACAAAAATCAGACTACCAGAGACCAATCAGTGGAGGGAGGAAAAAAAAAAAAGGAAAGAAAAAAGTTTGAGATACACATAGACAGCTAAATAAGTTAAAGCTATCAAAATTTCATCTTTAATATTTATCTGAATATCAGTGCAACAGATTTTGGAAGCAAAAAAGACTACAGGTGAAGCCCCTCCCACAGGTCAAGAATTTCACTCTCCATCACTTCATGATGTTCTAGGAAAACTTTGAACCGAGCAAACAAAGCATTTCCAAAGTCAAGCTTTAACCCATTAACTGTTAATGAAGCTCAGTATCTTCTTTTTAAGAGATCGTTAGACTTCATTTCAGCCTCCACTAGTTAGAAGGAGCACATACCCATCTTGCTGCAAGGGCCCAAGAAGAAAACACAAAACTCACTGAAACTGACAAAGCGTGCAGGCTTCCAAGACTGAAACAGAGCCCACATCTAACCAAAGTTACCTTTCAACAACTATTCTGAACACCAAAGCACAGACGGAAGTAGAAGATGGAACCTTTCATAAAAACCGTACAGGTTGAGAATGAGCTTTTCCACCAAGAAGCCAACATCAGAGCACAAGTTAAAATCTGCAGACTCTTTACCTTGAATCCTACATTCAGCTTTCTTCAGCAATAACACCGCAGATGCCTTGTCACAAGTGATGTAGGCGCACTCTGTGAGGACGGTGTCAAAGGACACTCAAACGGTGACGGCGGCCCAACCAACCACGACGCTCTACAAGCCACCACCACCACCAGACCCATGCTTTCATTAAATCCCATACCCTCACGGTCAATTGCTCTGGAGGCTTATTACTTCAACAGTTAAAACTCCTCGTGAAACACAACAGAAAAGGTCATCCCCAACGGCAAGGGGGACGCTACCGCAGCCGAAACGCCGGGGCGGGGGGAAGGGGCGGACTGGGCCACCTCGCTCGCAGAGCGCCGAGCCACAGGACCGGCGGCCCGCCCCGCCGCCCCCTAAGGGGCCTCAGCGGGGAAAGAGCGGCCCGCGGGGAAAGCCCGACGCGCCCCTCTCGCCTCCGCGGCCCAGCCCCGGGGGCTAAACCCACCTGTCCGAGTCCGAGGAGGGGGTGGCGGCAGGCGGCCCGCTGGGACTGGCGGGCGGCGGCGAGCAGCGCGCTCCCTC